TAAAGAAAAGCAGACTGCTCCGTGCAGTGCCTCATTTGGAAGGGTCTGGAATCCTTGAAGCTTGACCACCCTAATTCTCCTACTAATGGACCTTGAGAACTTGTTTAGAGGTTCCAGCAGGGGAGCGAGTAGCTACTCGAATACCCTTGATCCAGGAAGAGTCCTCTTATCAGGGAGGGTCATCCTCTTCAACCAACTGCACAACTTTGGGATGGACACACGGGTAGGGGTGAGGGAGAAACAGGACATGCGCCTAGCCAACCAGATCAGCGAATCAACCCTCTCCATCACCGGGGAGACAGCCAGATTGCCCTCACATCAAAATTTTTAAAGATTTTGTTGTTTTTTGTTTTTTTGAGATTTATTTGAGAAAGAGAGGGCACAACCACAAGCAGGAGGAGCAGAGGAAAAGGATAGAGACTGTCTTCAAGCAGAATCCCTGCTGAGCATGGTACCCAATGCATGGCTCGATCCCATGACCTGGATATCATGACCTGAGCCTAACCAAGAGTCAGACGTTTAACCAATTAAGTCACCCAGAAGCCCCCATTTTGAAGTTTTTTCGCGCAAACATCAAGGAACAGCAGGCAGCACCAAACTGGCAATGGCACGGGGCGCTCCACCAGCCGGGGCTAAGGGAAAGGCAGAATAGCAAAAATGGAGAAGCAAATCAAAGAAATTTCTTTGATTGGCTACAACTTGTTGCCTAACTTGAGAAGGCTTAGTTGGCTGTTTGTGATTAGCTATTCTTAAGCTTCTAGTTCTTAATTCTGAGGCTTTTAAAGGCATCCACACTAGCTCAGGTTTTGGTTTGCTTACATAAGCTGCTAAGGCATTAGGGCCACCTCAGCGGCTCCTTGTCTAACTACTTGAATAGACCCGCTCCTCTCTTTTGTATGGCGGTGTGCTGGGCCATACTAGAGAGACAATGTGGGAAACCAAAGCCCAATGGAGTTTATGCTCCAGGATTCATAGTGGTAACTCAAGTGAAAAAGCCTCTCTTGTATTTCCTTTGAATCCCTCACTTTTCTTACTAGTATTTCACATACTTCCATCCACTTCCCTGAAGCAGCAAGAAGCCATTTTCTCTGTCATTTGTGACTGAACAGTGGTTTACAGTGAAGAGACTTTCAACGAGTTTATCTCACCCGATGAAGCTGAAGGAGAGCACTGTTGAATGTGATACAGTAATTCAAACAGTTAAAATTTACTGAATAAATAGCCTTACTCACCCGTCACGACTTTATGAAGCTCATGAAGTAGGTCCTCACTGGAAGTTGAACCTACACAACTCGATCATGGACTTTCCATCTTGTGGAACCATGAAAAATTAATTTCTGTTGTTTATAAGTCACCGAGTTTACAGTATTTTCGTTATTATCAGCTCAAACAGACTAAGACATCATGTAACTGGAAAATGTTGTCTAAGGCTCTTTCTTAAGAGTAACGAATTACTCTCCCACCAGAAATTTTAATCAAGTCCTGCCCATAAATCCCCAGCTTACATCCCCTGCAACTAAAAAACTGGTTTATATTTTAAATACACCCCCTATTACAAGGAGTGACAGGAATCTTTTTCTTCCTAGTACCTATACAGAGGTAAATCATGTTACCTATATGAAGTAAATGCTACTATAACACACTCAGCATTCATCAACCTATCCCCTTTTTCAGCCTTTAGAAGGCAGAGGAGAGCTAGTAAAGTATTCTCCAAACTGAGAAGGCACTTTGAGAAATATATATATTTTAGAGAAAGAGAGAGAATCTCAAGCAGACGGCGCAGAGCGTGGGGAGCCCGACACAGAGCTCAATCTCACGACCCTGAGATCACGACCTAAGCTGAAACCAAGGGTCCAATGGATAACCGAATGCACCACCCAGGAGCCCCAGAAAAACAACACAAGTGACACCATAACTCTTCACAGTCTTACTCACGGGAACTTACAGGGAGAATCAGGCAGACAGGATCCAGCGCACGAGGCAGCTATTCCCCAGCTGAATCCAGACCTTAATACCCACCTTCTAGACAGCAAGTCGAGTGGTGCGGAGGTCACAGGGTAGTTATCTCAAGTGGAATCTTCTGCACGCCAGTCATCTTTACTAGTTATCTAAAGTGGTGCCTTCTGTGTGTCACATTAGGGGAGATCAGAACAAGTCTTCCTGCATTCAGGTCCGGGGATGCATTAACCTCCACAGGGCCTGAAGCCTATAGCCTGGAGGGGAGGTCATTGCGAGGCATGAAAGATGGCGGGCCAAAGATGGAATCAGTGTTGTCAGCACTCCTACACTGCCCTTAACCTTTTTTTGCCTTTTTAACATAGTCTTAATTTTGTTTACCTCCCCCAGATTGTCTTTCAGGAGAGGCTGACCCGCTCCTCACACCTAGGATATGAATCTCAATTGGCCTGAGCCCATTATGGACGCCTCACAACCCTTGTCAGTGATAGGCATAGACAGTTGAAGTAATTGTAATTAAGATGTGAGAAGAAATCAGCTGAGGGCCAAGGCTTTTCTTAGTCTTAAAAATGGGCAGAACATAAGGGGGTTCCCTTTTTTTGCTTGTGGGTATCATCTATAATCTGAAACTAAGTCATTTTAGGACCACGAGGGAAGCCAGATTGGAAAACAGGCCAACAAACCTAAAAATGGCAGAGCAGAAAGATGGAAAGGACCTGCATCCTTCACAATATTATCAAGCCATATTTGACCTATTTGGTTAGTTAATAACCAACCCTAGGGATGGCCTTATCTCCACACATGTAGCTATGTGGGATAATAAAAAGGCTGAATATGATCTCTCTGATATGAGGAATTTGAGAGGCAGGGCAGGGACTCATGGGGGGAAGGAAGGGGAAAATGAAATAAGATGGGACTGTGGAGGGAGACAAACCATTAGAGACTCTTAATATCAGGAAACAAACAAATGGAGGGCTGCCCTGGGATATGGCGGGTGGGAGGGATAGGGTGGCTGGGGATGGACATTGGGGAGGGTGTGTGCTATGGTGAGTGCTGGGAATTGTGTAAGAGTGGTGATCCAAAGATCTGTACCCCTGAAACAAATAATATATGTTAATTAAAAAAACAAACAGCAGGGTTCTAATAAAATGATTCTGTTCTGTGGCTAAATAAATATAAAAAGGCTTAAATATGGATATTTAGTAAGGTTTTCTATTACTGCAATTGAAAGCATTCCTTCTTTCTTTCAATGGTTCCACTCCTAAGTAGTAGCCCTCTTTATATAAAAAGTTGAAGTAAACTGGATGCAAGGATAACTGTCTAAATTTCCTTCTATGTTTAAGCTGTTCTTCTTATTAAAAGCTGGAGTCTATTTCCCCTTCCCATGAGCCCTGTCCTTCCACCAATAGAATACAACAGAATTAATATAATGCCAATTCCAAACCTAGGCCTTAAGAGAACTAGCCTGTTCCCTTTCTCCTTCACTCTATTGGAACCCCTGTACCCTGTAAGAAAGCTTCAGCTAACCTCCTGAATGATGAAGAGACTACATGGAGAGAAGCTTTTCAGAGGAGAATCAAGTAATCCTAGCCAATAGGCAGCACCAAGACCACAGCAATGTGAGTGAAGCATTCTTGCACCTTCTAGTCCCAGTTAAGCCATGCTAGTTTATACCTCAGAGAGCAGGAGCCAGGCACCCCTACTAAGCCCTGCCTGAATTCCTGACCACAGAACTGGGAACAATAAAACATCTGCTGCTTGATTTATGCAGCCACGGATAACTGAAACACACAATAATATTATTTGTTCTCTTGATCTGTAAAATTACCATAGCTGGTTCACAATGATTAAGATTTAAGCACTCTGAAAGCTAATTATTTTTTCCCAAATATGTCTCAATAGCTTTAGCTTACAAAAGATAATGTTTCCATGTATACACACCACCTTGTACCAACACTTTAAAGAAAATTAAAGGAAGTATTTTTAACAAGTGAGTTGATAACCTTGCAAGTAAAAAAACAAAAACAAACAAACAAAAAAAAACCTATGGCAAATATAAAAGGAAAATAGTTCCACCTCAATTTAAAAAATGGGAAAAGCCATTTCCTTAAAAAATCATAAATGGTGGGGTGCCTGGGTGGCTCGGTGGGTTAAAGCCTCTGCCTTCGGCTCAGGTCATGATCCCAGAGTCCTGGAATGGAGCCCCACGTCGGGCTCTCTGCTCAGCGGGGAGACTGCTTCCCCCTCTCTCTCTGCCTGCCTCTCTGCCTACTTGTGATCTCTGTCTGTCAAATAAATAATAAATAAAATCTTTAAAAAAAAATCATAAATGGTGCAAAGACATGAAAGAAAATACCTTAATCTCAAGGTCTCTGATCTAAATGAAATGCAAGTTAAAACAACATGAAACATTTTCACCTACTAAATGTAATCACTAAGTCTTAATGCCAACTAGGTTCCAGTGAAAAATGGGAATACCCCTCGTTAGAGTCTCAGCCTGGGACACCAAAGTCTTCTTGAGCTACGGGGACTTCGACGGGCCTTGACTTTGGGCAGTGTCTACGGCTGGACAGCGAGCATAACAGAGCTACGCACAGAGCCCTCGTAAGGCTGAAACGGTATGCACACGAAAGGGCAACAGGAACGGCTGTCATTTTTTGTTCAGCCTGTTCATGCATTTTTGCCGGAGGTGATGGAAACGCACAAGAGTTACAGGAAAATCTTAATACTTTTCTGGAAAACTGCAGATGAGACGATAGGGAGTGGCGCACGGGAGGTGGGTGGCGGTGGTTGTCTGGGTAGCAGGCAGCCGAGGCGAGGAGCTGAGCCCTCCACCTCGCAGCGACCTCTCCCAAGGACGCCCCCCTCCCAGCTCTCCCTCGCGTGGGCCTCTGCGCTCCGCGGGGCGGGGCGCCGGAGACGGAAGGCGGTGGGAACGAAGGACTCGCGGCGCCGATTGGCTGCTTAGGAGCACGGGGTGGGGCGCGCGGAGGCTCCGGAGGACGCGCGAGCGGAAGTTCGCGAGAGCGCACTTCCGGTCTTTGTGGCTCGCCGCTCCAAGTCGGCGGCTTGCTCTCTGGCCGCTGCTGGGCTTCGCGGTGAGGGACGCGGGCCCCGAGCGGAGGGAGGGCGGGGAGGGCGCGTGGCCCGGACGGCGGGCGCGAGGCGAAGGGGCCTTGCTCCCCGGGCCTGGCCTTCCCTGGGTCGCGCGGCCCCGTGTTCGGGCGGTGTTTCCGAGCGTCCTGGGAGCCCGCGGAGGCCAGCTCAAGCCCTTACTTTCCAGGGGAAAGGGCAGTTACTCCTCCCCGCCGTGACTTCGCAAATGCTGTCGTTTAGCCGGGCTATGAAAATGGGCTGATGCCTAGCCTAACTGTTCTAATCTCTAAAGTTAACTGTCGTGTTAGGGTCAGATGGTATTGATGTGTCCCGCAGTTTCAAGGGCATACCCTCCGGTCGATACTCACCCATCCTCGAATCAGGTCCTGTGTGAGCTATATCACAAAATTGAATACGTAATTATTTGTTGCCATATTTCACTCTAAAAAATGTCTATTCCCCTATATGCTAAGCTTGAGAACGGAGATTGACCTTTTTGCTGCTTTTGTGTCTCTCCGATAACGGACGTGTTTTTGAGCACACAGTAAGCATTTAACAAACTCTTGGTTAATTCCTCTGTAGATCCGTTTACTCAAAAGCAAAGACCTTTGTATTCTTACGCCTGGCTCACGACAGAGCCCATGGTAAGTGCCTCAGCGTTTGTTGAAGAAATGCATTGAAAACTAAATTTGATCAAATGGCAATTGAAAGTTTTTATTTAAATCACCTCATATTTAATATAAAGTTTTAAAAATGTTGTTACTCCTGCAAATGGAAGTCAACATTATTTACCATAGATAGAAGGTAACTAAAAATAAATTTTTATTATTTTTTTAAGATTTTATTTATTTATTTGGCAGAGAGAGCACAAGCAGAGGGAGAGGGAGAAGCAGGCTCTCTGCTGAGCAGGGAGCCCAATTCTGGGCTTGATCCCAGGACCCTGAGAGCATGACCTGAGTTGAAGGCAGAGGCTTAACCCACTGAGCCACCCAGGCACCCCTAAAAATAAATATTTGAAAGCATTATTAAATCCTAGCTAGATATTGTTACCCTTATAAGTCTAGAGGCTTAAACGTTATTAAAAAGGGAGTTCTACAAATTAAAGACAGATTTTTCTCCTTGATAACCATCAGGATTGAAGGAATTGAAAAGGAGATTTCGTGTTATGTGATTCATGGTAATACTGCTTTCTTTTGCTTCTAAAATAATTTCTATTATTAGTGGTAAAAATTCTAAATGGATGATAAATGGGCGAGTGATCTTTAGTTTGTCACTTGATTATTTTACAGTCTCAAACTTCTTCCCTCTCAATACATTACTGGGATGACTGACCTTTATTTTAAGTTCTTACAAGATTTTTTTTTCTCACTGCTCTAAGTTAACAGTGCTTTTATATCTTTCAGGAACAAAGAGATCACTCAAAGAAACTGAAATACCGTACCCAGTTGTAGTGAGCTTTTTGCTCTGCTGTTTAGGCCAGAATGGCTGTGGAATCCAGAACAGTTTCAACCTTGGTACCTCAGAGTCCTCAGGATCAAGAACTAATACTAGTGAAAGTAGAAGAAAGCCTTTCCTGGGGTCAGAAATGTAAGCAGGGTGGGAGCACCAGATCCTGCCAAGAATTGTTCCGCCAACAATTCAGAAAGTTTTGCTACCAGGAGACACCTGGACCCCGGGAAGCTCTGGGCCGACTCCAGGAGCTTTGCTATCAGTGGCTCATGCCAGAGTTGCACACCAAGGAGCAGATCCTGGAGCTGCTGGTGCTGGAGCAGTTTCTGAGCATCCTGCCTGAGGAGCTGCAGATCTGGGTTCAGCAACATAGTCCAAAAAGCGGCGAGGAAGCTGTGACCCTGTTGGAGGATTTGGAGAGGGAATTTGATGATGCAGGGCAGCAGCAGGTGGGAACAGAGAGATGTGATATGTTGGGGGAAGAGAAATGTACAGACTAGAGCATGTGGCATCCTCACAGCAGTGGAAGGGAGAGTTGTCTCCACCGAACCATACCCTGCAGTGACTACTGTGGTTATACCTATCTCTATCCTTAAATAGTTCTTTTTCCCTATCACTCATCCCTGGAGTTGTCTTTGTTGCCCTCTTCAAAATTTTTACTAAGCATTTTCCCTAGGGAGTTTCTCAGAAAGCTAACCACTTTTCCTGATTTCAGGGACCAGCAGTGCCATGGAAGGATTTGACAGGTCTTGGAACATCCCAGGAGCTAACAAACATCCAACTCCAGCCTTTAAAGACACAGCTGAAACCCTGGGAACCTTGCCTTTCCCCCAAAAGTGGTAAGAAAGTAGAAACTCGTCTGGGAACCGCTATCAGGCCTCTGGTTTTGAGCGTACAGAATTAATTGCATTTTACAAAGATGATGCATGTGAGCATCTCACTTGTCTTATCTAGACCAGATGTACCCTCTTCAGCAACTTTGTATTCAGCAACCCTCATGAAGTGCAGTCAGCCCTTCCTGTTTCAGTTTCCCTGTCATTTCTTAACTTACTCCTTGATTATATAACTTAATAGGGTGCTAACATATGTCTGGTACTGTGGGAGGCACTGGGTCTCTGTCTTTAAGACCTTGCATCTAGATGGGGTGGTGGACAAGCAAAAAGGCAATGGCAATATAGTATAATAAATTACAGAATAAAAGTAGGCGATAGGTACTATGGGGGCACATATGAACACACCTATCCCAACCTTAGAGGTTCAAGCAGTACTTTTTGGAGAAGGAAACACCTAAACTAAGATCTGAACTATGACTAAGGAGAAAACCAGGTAAATAAGCAGGAGGAAGTGTCCCATCCTAAAGGAAAAAACTTTTTTCTACTCAAAGCACTTCTCACACTGGATATGTGCAGTTTTCCCTCCTCTTAAGCAATTCTAATTCTGAGCCTAATTACCTAGAATTAATGCAAACCCCACAGGTTAAGGTTTTGGTCCTATAAGACTGCTTCCCTCCCTACCCCCCACTTCAGAAGCCAGTCGCATGTCATGAATCCCCAGCTCACCCACACTTCTGTCTGATTGGGCTGCAAATTTGACATTCCATGACCACCTCTCCAGGTTTCATAATTTGCTATAGCTCAAAGAACTCAGAGAAACACCTTGCTTACTCTTACCATTTTATAAAGGATGCAAGCTTACAGCCAGATGGAGAGGTACACGGGGCAAGACCCAGCTTGCTTCTGTCCCTGTGAAGTTAGAGGTTCACCACTGTTGTGGCTCTTGGATGCATCCACCATCCTGGAAGCTCTCCAAGCCCTTTTGTTTAAGGTTTTTGTACAAGTTTCATTACATAGACATGGTTGATTAAATCATTGGCCATTGATAGTTAAACCTCCAGTCCCTTTCCGTGGAGGTCTAAAGGTAGGGCAGAAAGTTCAACCTTCTAATCACATAGTTTGTTCCTTTGGCAGCCAGCCCCCAGCCTTCCGGAGTTACCTCATAAGCATAAACTGAGGTACTAGTTGATAGGGGCTTATTATGAATAACAAAAGATACGCCTCTCACCTCTACCATTAGGAGATTGCAAGGGCTTTTAAAAGCTCTGTGCCAGGAACTAAGGATGCAGACCAAATCCATATTTCCTGTATTACAGTATCACACAAGGCCACAAAGTCCTGAAGGTGAGAGAATACAACCCATTCTGGGAACCACAGGTAATTCAGTTTAACTCGAATAGAGAATTCATAGGGGAGAGATGGCGAAACATAACCAGAGAGGAAAATGAGACCCAGGTTGTGAAAACTTGGAGATCATCCTAATTAGTTTGGATAGGACAGTGGAGCACAGTTGAAAGGTTTTAGACAAGAGAGTAGTTGATTGGACTTGTGTTTTAGAACTTAGCTGCCGAGTGGAGGATGAATTTGAGGAAGGCAAGAGTGAAGTCCTGTTAGAGACTGTTGTAATCTAAATGGCCCCAGTGAATAAGTCAAGATGTATTCTGGTGAGAAGGAAGATCAAAGTTGCCTCCTGTTCACCAGAATTTCAAATTGCATTGCAGTAGCTGGTCATGGTTACAAGTGGAGAATGTAGGAAAGGAGTTGGGGATGATACTCAGGTATTAGTCTTGAAAAACTTGGTTAATGATAGTGCTATTGTGTAAATGGAAGTGGGAAACAAGGGAAAAAAATATGATGTGTTTTGTCTGGGCCATTTTAGTGCTTGTGGAGTATTCACAAGTAATATCCCAATTAGCATTGGAGATGAGAGTCTAGAGCTTAATAGAATAGAATTGGAGATCTGAGGAGACATTAGCTTATCACATAAGTAGTGACTGAAACCTAGGTGGTAGAGAGTGTGAAGACTGAGGATACAAGAGAGCCCAGAACAGAATCTGAAGGACCTTGTGTTTGAGTGATAGGCCTTGAATCTAAGAAGGAACAGCCCCAGAATTCAGGCTAATATAACAGGAAGAGAAATGTCTCTAGAAGGAAGGTGTGGTCCTCAGTGTCCATGCTACAGAGAAGCTAAAGCTAACTAAATAAGATCCAGAAAGTATTTATTGGATTAAGCAGTTATGAAGTTGGTGACCTTGATGAGAGTGGCGTGGCAGGGAGGGGGTGTCCAGGGAAGGCAGAAACCAGATTGCAGAACAGAGAGGAGTACAGATAACTCTTTTCAAAAAGCTTTACTCTGGGGGCACCTGGGTGGCTCAGTGGGTTAGGCCGCTGCCTTCGGCTCAGGTCATGATCTAAGGGTCCTGGGATCGAGTCCCGCATCGGGCTCTCTGCTCAGCAGGGAGCCTGCTTCCCTTCCTCTCTCTCTGCCTGCCTCTCTGCCTACTTGTGATCTCTCTCTGTCAAATAAATGAATAAAATCTTAAAAAAAAAAAAAAAAGCTTTACTCTGAGTGGAAGTGAGGCTGCACAAAGTAGATGTGTAGGCAAGGAGCTTGATTTGAAACATGAGAAATTTGGGCTTATTTAAATGCTAATGAACAGGAGTCAGCAGAGAAAAAGGGTGAAAATAATAGGAAAGGAATAGTAGCTAATCGATCAAGTGAAATTTCAGAGGGAGCAGGAAAGAATAAACTTCAAACTGTAGGTATAGGCCTCCATACTAGAAAGGAGGAGGGACCAGTATGGGCAGTTAAAGAAAGATGGGTGTGGACCTCGACCTCTTGTGGGTAGAAGCCTCTGTTTTCTCTCACGTGAAAAGTGGGTACTGAGAGTGACTAGAGAAATAAAACAGTCTGTTTTTGCTGTTAACATTTCAGATCGTGAGAACCACGAATCAGTGACCAAGAAGGACATTTCAGGAGAAAAATCACAAGGACATCCCCAGGAGCCTTCATCTGGAGGAGTTAGTGAACATGACAGCAATTTAAAGTGGCAACAAGAAAGTCCTACAGGGGAGAAATTAAGAAGATTCCCTACCCAAGGGGGCAGTTTTAGTCAAGTAATCTTCACACACAAATCTCTGGGAAAGAGAGACCATCCTGAGCCTCAAAGCAGCTTGATTCTAAGTACAAACTCTATAACTTACCAGAAAGTTCCTACAGAAGAGAGACCTTATAGATGTGATGTATGTGGGCACAGCTTCAAACAGCATTCCTCTCTAACACAACATCAGAGAATCCATACTGGAGAAAAGCCTTATAAGTGTAACCAGTGTGGGAAGGCTTTTAGTCTGAGGTCATACCTTATCATTCATCAGAGAATTCACAGTGGTGAGAAAGCATATGAATGTAGTGAATGTGGGAAAGCCTTCAATCAGAGCTCAGCCCTCATTAGACATCGTAAAATTCATACTGGGGAGAAAGCTTGTACATGTAACGAATGTGGCAAAGCATTCAGTCAAAGTTCCTATCTCATTATACATCAAAGAATTCACACTGGCGAGAAACCCTATGAGTGTAACGAGTGTGGGAAAACCTTTAGCCAAAGCTCAAAGCTTATTAGACACCAGCGAATTCATACGGGAGAGAGACCTTATGAATGTAATGAATGTGGAAAAGCTTTCAGGCAGAGTTCAGAGCTGATAACCCATCAGAGAATACATAGTGGAGAGAAACCCTATGAATGTAATGAGTGTGGAAAAGCTTTCAGTTTGAGCTCAAACCTCATCAGACATCAGAGAATTCATAGCGGAGAGGAACCCTATCAGTGTAATGAATGTGGCAAAACCTTCAAAAGGAGCTCCGCCCTTGTTCAGCATCAGAGAATCCATTCTGGGGATGAAGCTTACATATGTAATGAATGTGGGAAGGCTTTCAGGCACAGATCAGTCCTCCTGCGCCATCAGAGGGTGCACACTGTCAAGTAACTTGGCAGTACAATGGGTGTTGTAAATATTTTGGTCAGATTTTTATCTTTGTTAGTGGAAAGGGTTTACTTTTTGGAACAAGACTCCAGGCCGGTATTCACCCAGGTCTGGAGTCATGCTGACTTAACTGAACAGCACTTCCCAATGCTACTGCATATTGTTCCTTGAAAGCTTTTCCTAGGACTAATCAGAGCAGCAGATGGAAGAATCACTGCTTCCAGCTTTCCTCTTACCATTAGGAGGAATACTCAGGAAATAAGAAAAATGGGAATATAACATTGAAACCTCATTTTCCATGAGAATGTCATAAAGGGGGTATAGCAACCCGGGCTGTCAACCACATCTGATTGTCCACATGCTAGATTTGGGATATGGAGTGGACAGTATGAGGGACATTTTGTCTCAGGAATACAGAATTTTACTGACCAATTAAGAACAGTGACAAGGCAGCAAGAGAGATGGGGAAGCAGTGCATAGATGATGTGTTGAGCCCAGGAGAGTCCAGAAATGAGGTAGTGGAAAGAATACAAATTAATTTATCCAGCAGTTAACTTTTTGAAGGCATGTCTTGTGCCAGGCACTAGGAATACAACGGGGAATCAGACTGTCTCTGTGGTTGAATGGGCAAGGCAAACATCATGGCATGAGCAAGGGCTCTGTGACATTGAGTACCTGAGCCAGCCTTGGATCAGGGAAAGTTTCTGAGAAAAACAAACTGAAGAATGTATAGGAGTTAGCCAGGGAAGTAGTCAGGCAGGCTAGAGAACAATATTCCCAGCAGAGGGAACAGACAAAGGTCAGGAAGAATGTCTGGCACATCTAAGAAAAGGCCATTTTGTGTGGAGTGTTGCTGTTGAGTTCCTCTTGAAGTGGAGTCAGGTGTGTAAGAAACGTGGATGTAGCAAAGTAGGAGCCAGCAGAGAAGCATCTGTTACTAGACAAAATCTCGAGTCCTTGGGCCTCCGGGTAGAGTGGAGCTTTGTTGTGGTCTGATGTGAGCCAAGGGAAAGAGTTAATAACTCGTTTTTTTGCCTATAGGCTCCACTAGACCTGTGTGTTTGGGGAAGGCAGGGTGGTTTGAAAGAGCCCAGCCTAGCCTCAACGTTAACTACCTGTTAGAATTCTAAATCTCTTTCCTGAACGGAAGAGCTCCTTTGGTCCTTGAAGCTATCAGAGCTGTTGTCCGCTTCCTGCTCACTCGCAAGGCTCTGGGTCAGAAGCGGCTATGGCTACCACATCTGTTTCTGGGGCTGTACCCCCACAGTTCTGGTGCACTCCCTTGGGCTCAGGTGCTAAACAATATTTGTCAGTCCCTGGGTCTGTGACGTAGCCTCCAGGTACCTCACATGTGTTCAGTTTTGCCTTATGTCATTGTCATTTTGCAGTATTTCAGTCTTATGAATTTTAAAGACAATGCTGAAGGGAAGGGGCAACAAAAGGTAACAGTCCTGGTCCATCCAGAGACTACCGTCTTCTGGGGGACCCAGCAGGAAAAGTACCCCTAGTCTGGTGCTTCTCAGTGCAATGTGAGAAGGGATATAGGTTAGTTAGCAACAGAAAAACCCATTATTAAAAAATACCCAACTGGTCAGAGTTCACACACCTTGCCAAAAATAGAAATCTATGGGAATTTAGAATCCTGAGCTTAGCAAAAGAAGAGTTTTGGGGAGGATAAGTAGAGAATGCTCCTGTTGGAACATACATAGATAACAGATACTAACCAGTAAGAATGGCCAGTGGGCTAAATCCCCATGCTTCCAGAAAGAAGGTGAGAAAAGAAAGGGATAGGATAACAAAGTAACATATAAGAGTTACTCATATTCAACTCTCCTTTTCCTCTCCCAAGATAAAGACTCAAACTGAAAAGGGTAGGACAATTGTTAAGTAGGAATTGATATAACACGTTACAAAAGGGAGAGATTCTTTACAGAGAGTTCTTAACCTACAAATAAACATAACAGGTACTTTGCTGAGGGCTTTGTATATATTTGTTGTTTCTCTGACAGCACATATTTTGCAGATGAGAAAATGAAGGCTTAGAATCATGGCTTAGTCAATATACAGCTAAAAAGTGGTGAGGTCAGACTTCGAACCCAGGCAAAAGGAAAACAAAAAACCCTTCTGTGGAGCCATCTCTCTATAGTATATCCTCGTGAAGAAGTCCCAGTAGAAAAATTGGTACTTCAGTAAGCAAATCACATAAGAACAAGTGCCAATGGGTGACAAGTGGGCAGTCTTGGCAGAATTAAAAATGTATATTAAAGCAAGAATTGAGATGGCACTTTTTCCCCCTCATAAAGATTCAGGGAAGTTGGGACTCCAATGCTGCTGGTAAGCTGTGAATAGATAGGATCTCTGGCAATCAGTACCAGAAGCCTTAACCATTGCCTTTTGACTTTAAAATTCTACCTGGAAATGTATGCTTCAGAAAACATCATGAATGTATACAAACTCTTAAAAGCTGTTAAAAAAAAAAAAAGTGATGTTGATTGATGTCAAAAGAAAATGACAGCATATCTTAAGTAAAAATAGAACATGTACAGTATGACTCCATGTAAAAATATATTTATGCATTAAAAATCCTGGAAATATGTAATCTCAGAGTGCTATAGATAGAATTATAGGTGATTGATTTTTTCTTGTGATTTTCTGTCTTCCAAACTGGCCTACAATAAATACTTCTAAACTTTGAGGGAAAAAAAGGTTAAAAGGAATGAGTACCCAAGATAGTCAAGAAATACTAAGGAAAGCGCATGCTTTCTGTAGCATCTCTGTCCCTCCTAAGTCCTAGGAGGTTGTCTAACTTAACTCTGACCCATGACTTTTTTTTTTTTTTTAAGATTTTATTTACTTATTTGACAGAGATCACAAGTAGGCAGAGAGAAAGGGGGAAGCAGGCTCCCCGCCGAGCAGAGAGCCCGATAGGGGCTAGATCCCAGGACCCTGGGATCATGACCCGGAGCTGGAGGTAGAGTCTTTAACCCACTGACCCACCCTGGCATCCCTGATCCATGACGACTTCATTGTTAAGTGACAGTGCCAGACACAACCATCTCACATTAGTGTACAGAAAAGTCCTGCAAATTATAAATCTCTGTGCAAATACAAGTTATTTGCATGAAGGATATCTATAGTTGAGAAAAGCAATAACCTTGAAGTAGAGTCCTTTGTTCATGTTGGTGCTTTTCCATAATTCTGCAGCCAAGAGCAAGTCACCTCATAACTCCCAGTTTAAGGGGGCTGAAGTAGATGACCTTTCAGAGTTAAAACTTCAAAGTTCTACGGGTTTATGAAAGAGAGCAGGCACCAATATAAGGTAGATGTCAAAGGTGATTTTAAAAGATGTGCAATTTAGGGTGCCTGGGTGGCTTAGGGGTTAAGCCTCTACCTTCAGCTCGGGTCATGATCGCAGGGTCCTGGGATTGAGCCCCACATCGGGCTCTCTGCTCAGCAGGGAGCCTGCTTCCCCCTCCTCTGCCTGCCCCTCTGCCTACTTACGATCTCTCTCTCTCTCTCCCCCTGTCAAATAAATGAATAAATAAATCTTAAAAAAAAAAAGGATGTGCAATTTAGGCAGGGTGCTTAATACCACTTTACTACCTCTCGCCTTCTCCCTCCTCATTTCCATAGACTGCAATTCTGTTCAGCTGGAGACTGGAAATTTAAGCAAATCTGACCTTGGGGGTCTCCAAACTCTCCTGTGAAATCCTCTGCTTCTCTTGCCCTATTAAGTGAATCTTCCAAGTCGGGGGATTGCCAATTAGAATATTTCCCATGCAGTAGAAACTGACCTGGAGAGCATTTCTGCAAAGAGGAAGGGTGAGCTTTATGGGAAGACCCCACTGATACCATCTGCTCCCTGCTTCCCGAGGGGTCAGAAACACACATTGCTACTCAGTAACTTTACCATCTGCAACAGTCTTGTTGGCTGGTGCAAATGATCACAAATCTAAAGGGTTTTAGGGTTTTTCTGCACATGTTTCTGTTGACCTGCTGAGAGAAGGGGAAGTCCATGGCAGTCTCTGAGGCTCCTGCTCCTAAACAGGGGGACACAATGTGTACGTGTGTTTAAAGAGGCTACTTGTTCTCTTTCCCATGGTTTCTCAACCAGCTGCCCCCAAATTTTGCGTCTTCACTTGATGAACTGCAGCACAAGGGACTAGCCATGTTTCCAGACACCTGGACGAGAAAATAAAAGCCAAGCACACCCATTCCCTGATTTCTTGCCACAATTCCCTCCCCCTTTCTCGCAGCACACCTCCACTTGTGTTACTAGGCTTCCTATTCCTGAACAAGTCATTTCAAAACAAACCTTAAGATTCCAATTTTATTATAATACATCTTGTATTACATTCTAATACTAAACAGTTTAAGTATATACTCAAAGTATAAATGTTAAAATCAGTTACTAAAAATGATTTACCAAACACGATTTTTACCAAAAAATACTAGGATTGGGGAAAGAAAAAAAATTACAGAACTGCAAAATACTAACATTATTTTTATGGGTGGTGGGGTTGAAGGTGACTTCTACTTTCTCATTTTCTATATTTTTTTAAAAGCTTTTTTTTTAAGATTTTATTTATTTATTTAACAGAGATCACAAGTAGGCAGAGAGGCAGACAGAGAGGGCAGGGGGAGCAGACTCCTTGCTGAGCAGAAAGCCTGATTCGGGGCTTGATCCCATGACCTTGAGATCATGACCTGAGCCGAAGGCAGTGGCTTTAACCCACTGAGCCACCCAGGCACCCCTCTCATTTTCTAGATTATCAACATTTACAATTAATTCACAATCTAGAAAAAAACTATTAAATAAAATTTAAAACATGAAATCATCTGATTGTCACCTAGAGGAAAAGCAACTCCATCCATTTGAAGGGTCTCTCCAGAATTCTGACTGACCTCTCTCAATGAAAATCGTCCAACCTGTGGATACAAATACTGCCCCCCTACCCCACCCTGGCCCAATTTCACCTCCCTATTACCCACAAAAGCTTTGATCACCAAGTCTTCAGAAGAGACAGTATCTGGAAGGGAAATCAGGATATCTTAGAAGAGAAATCAAACCTTCTCTTACATATTAATTGCCTTCAGCAGTTAATGGTGGGCTAATTAAAACTGCCAAAATAAAAATTAACAGAGAAACAGAGTTTTAAGGAATCTAAGGAGGCAATTCAATAAGTACTCATTGCCTTCAAGTAGCTTAGTATCTTCCAGCCTGATGTAAGGAGAAGACAGGAAATGAGGAATAGTGAATCCTGGGAAGGCATACCTCCCACTCTCAGGCTCCTGTCAGCTTCCCATTTCCTGAGCCCTAGGGTTATGGGACACCGACGCTGTCCCTCTAGCCTCCAACATTTTTTCTTTCTTTGGTGTACCTACATGCCTTTTTCCATACAATGCAGCAAAGTCTACCATCACACTAACTGTCCTGAGTCCCTCAAGGTCTTTAGGTAACTCTGGGTCTGGGATAAGCTACCCAACTCACTGATTATGAACAGGAAGTGAGGAACCAACACATGTCCTAGCTTCCAAACCAGGGTCTACATGAACACTTTCCTGCTAGAGAAGTCCTCGTGAAGAGACATCTCTAGATCCTCCCTCCATGCCTTCGTATGTGCCATAACCTGTCTGTAATGTTTTCTTCCCTCTCACCTTGACCCGGCTTATACCCACCTTTTATTTCCCAACAGAGATTTCATCACATTGAGGAAGATTTCAATAACTTGCAGACCAGGTTAGGTGCCCTGCCATGTATTTTGACAGAATCCTAGATTATTCCACCAAAGCACTTACCACTCTTTACTGTAATTACTTGCCATATATATATATATATATACATACATACATATGTATAATATCTGTATCCCATTAGTTCTTAACTCTGGGAGGGCAATGCTATGTCTGCCCCGATGGCTGGCACATAGCAGGTACACAATAAACAAACTGACCTCAGGAAGCTCGGGGTCGAGAAGAGAACTGGCAAGGGGGCAGAATGAACTATAAATTGATCCAGGGCATGATTCAACATTTCACAGCCTAACAATTGAATAGAGAACTGAGTGACTCTCAGCACATGCCTCCAGCTGCCAAATGCACGCTCTTCTTGCTGCACAGAGATCCTTGCCATTGGAGGCACCACCTCTCAGCCCATCTTATAAGGAGCTCTTTCAGGATCTTTACCCCAGACCTGGCTTTACTGTGAAGGTGCCCATTCAGCACATCAACAACCATCTTTGTGTGGATCTCCTTATACAGCATGTACTGACTTAGACTGGAAGGACAGAAACTCTGCTCTCAGGAGACTTCTCACTTTGGTGGGAACCTCACCAAATCCCTGGTATTACACAATTGTATAATCCTTACTCAAGAGTTAAACTCTTGTGTGAGTTCTCTGGTGTTGCATAAGGCCTGACCTGTGCCTAAATGTTTTCTGACATTCACTACATTCATAAGGCTTCTCCCCAGTGTGGATTCGCTGGTGCTGCGTGAGGGCTGAGCTCTGATTGAAGGATTTTCCACATTCGTTACATTCATAAGGTTTTTCTCCAGTGTGAATTCTTTGATGTTCAATAAGGACAGAGCTTCTACCAAAAGCCTTACCACATTCAGTACACTCATAGCCTTTGTCTCCAGTGTGAATTTTCTTGTGCTGAATGAGGGCTGAGCTCCGGCTGAAGGCTTTCCCACATTCACCACATTCATACGGTTTTTCTCCGGTGTGAATTCTCCTATGTCTAATGAGCTCTGAGCTGCCCCTGAAAGCTTTACCACATTCACAACATTCATAGGGTTTTTCACCACTATGAATCCTCTGATGTCTAACAAGGTCCGAGCTCAAACTGAAAGCTTTGCCACACTCTTTACATCCATAAGGCCTCTCTCCAGTGTGAATTCTCTGATGTCTAATCAGCTTCGAGCTCTGGCAAAAGGCTTTCCCACAGTCCAAGCACTCGTAGACCTTTCCTCCAGCATGAACTCTCTGTCGTGTGAAGACATTTGAGTTCACACTGAGAGCCCTTTCACTCTGGTTACATTCAAGGACACACTCTTCAGTGGAGATTTTCTTGTTGAAGGTTGCCAGACTAAGATGTCTTTCCTGGGAAGGAAATGGACTCATTTCGCTCCTTGCAGCAGTTCCTTTTGGCTTCTCAAAGTTGTCCAGACTTCCCAAAGCTTCTCCAACTACCTGTTGTGAAGGAGTTTCCCCAGGAAGTCTTCCTGGGGATATCATGGCCGCTGACGCTACACATTCAATAATTTCTTGTTTTGTTGTTAATACCTTGTCACTTGCCAGCTTGCCATCTAAAAATGTGAACAGAAATACTAGTGTCATTGGATCCCTATACTGGAAGAAAGGAATCTATTATAACTGGAATTGAAAGTTACCCAAATGAAATGGTATTTCCTAAAAAGGAGGAAAACTCTTAAGAACTAGCTTCCCAGGGCACGTGGGTGGCTCAGTTGGTAAAGTGTCTGCCTTCAGCTCAGGTCATGATCTTAGGGTCCTGGGATCAAGCCCTGCATCAGGCTCCCTGCTCAGTGGGGAGCCTGCTTCTCCCTCTCCTCCCCACTCACGCTCTCTGTCTCTATTTCTGTCTGTCTCTCTCCCTCTCAAATTAATAAATAAAATCTTTAAAAAAAAAAAAAAAAAGAACTAGCTTCCCAATCTAGAATTTAGAGAAGTGGCCTGGGGCAGTGAGAGGTGGCACCCTCAGAGAGTAAGGGAGACATAGAATGAGAGTCAGCAGTGGAGAGGAGGGATGGTGAGCAGGGTAAGACATTAGTTAGAGGAGATGGTGGTAAAGAGAAGTAGCAGTGAGAGACCAAGAAGCTAGGAGACAATCCTGGCTTAGAGGAGAAGATGTGTTTTTTGGTAATGAGGGAAAGGAAAAGAGATAATAGGGAGTGTTCAGGAGAAAAAAAGAAGTCTAAGAAACCTGAATAGGGCGCCTGGGTGGCTCAGTGGGTTAGGCCGCTGCCTTCGGCTCGGGTCATGATCTCAGGGTCCTGGGATCGAGTCCCGCATCGGGCTCTCTGCTCAGCAGGGAGCCTGCTTCCCTCACTCTGCCTGCCTCTGTCTACTTGTGATCTCTCTCTGTCAAATAAATAAATAAAATCTTAAAAAAAAAAAAAAAAAGAAACCTGAATAAGTGGTGCTCCTAGAAAAGTAGGAGAGCAGAATATATGACTAGGAAATTCTTTCGGGGTAAACTGAGCAGAGGTACATAAGCAGGAACAAGAATGCATTAGAGCAACTGCAAGTTCTAGATCAAACAATTATAAGCAAATAGAATAAGACACTCAGTGCATAAGAAAAGGAATGTTGTGGTTTCCTGACTCATTCTGGGGTCAGGTGGGAGTCTTATATGTTCACTGTCTTATGTGCAAATGGTCAAAGGCAGATGGAAACAAAGAGACAGATGCAACCACCTGGAGCCAAACTTTCAGCTCTCACAACCAGCCCCTCTTGTATCTAGATTTCTGGTAACTCAGAAGGAGACTACTAGATGATGGCTGAGGAAACCAGAATTATTTTGAGGAGGAAAACCTAAAAAACTGTTCATTTACTTTCATCCTCCCAGTAGTCCTTTAAACCTGATTGCATTTTACAGATCAGGAAACGAAGGCTCAGAGGGGCAACAGCACCTTTGTAAGACCACAGAGTTCATAACTGGAAGAGCCAGGATTCAAAGATGCTCAACATCAAGGCTGCAGTTTTTCCCTATGTCCCCTAGTACTGACAGATACCTGTGTGGTCTAAAAGCCTTTTGCCCAGGGATGTGGCTTTAAATGCACATTAACAAATATGCTTTTAGCCTTAATGTTATGTAGATGTATGCTGCACTGCCCATCCAGACCTGCTTTATGAACTTGGTGCCTCCTTCCCCCAGCTGCTGGGAGTGTTGGTTCCTAATACCACAGCTGCCGCCTTCTCTGGAAAGTTGTCCTGGCTGATGAGAACCATCTGGCCCAGGATGTTATTTATATCCTTACTGCCTCTCCCCCACCCCACCCACACCTTAAGAAGGGACAACTCAGCAGTGCCATTATGCTCGAGGGGAGTGGGGCAGGGATTAAGATATTAAGCCAAGGCTAGATTTTACCCAAGACCACATCATGGCTTGCTCTCTTCCCTTCCTAACCCTGCTTCTCTCACTCCTTTACAGATTTCTCCTCAAGAGCATTACTTCCTTTAAATCACATGCACCCTTGGGATGCCTGGGTGGCTCAGTGGGTTAAGCCTCTGCCTTCGGCTTAGGTCATGATCCCAGGGTCCTGGGATCGAGCCCCGCATCAGGCTCTCTGCTCAGCAGGGAGCCTGCTTCTCCCTCTCTCTCTCTGCCAGCCTCTCTGCCTACTTGTGATCTCTTTCTCTCTGTCAAATAAATAAATCTTTCTTTAAAAAATAATTAAATAAATCACATGCACCCAAATCTCCGTATCTCGGGATCTTCTTCTGGGGAGATCTAGGAGATCTATTGTTAGGAAGATCTATTGTTAGGATAGTGAAGTACCTATGGGAAAATTATAACCAAGGATATAAGGTTGTAAAAATGACATGGTGACTCTTAAAATCCTTGCAAGGTGGATCCTCCCAGTGATTTAAACCTCACAATCTAGGTGAAAGATGTGACATGCTCTACATTAATTCTTCAGAGGCAGGGCTAACCAAGACCCCTAAGACTAAAAAGAGATGAGCACAACGAGATCTATCAGTCCACAACAGTTAACGTGCTACTGGGAAGGAACAAAAGCATATGGAGTACAACAGATAAGAGTTGGGAAATGAACCTATCATGTATTTTAAATTAATCAGATCCTCACTAGAGGTTTGGGTTTTTTGGTGGGTTTTTTTTTTTTTTTTGATCCCTTTATTTCAAATGAATGTGGAGAAACTGAAACATGTCGAGAGAAATGTGCTAAGATGACCAGAGAGATGGGAAGCAGATTGAATCAGAGGCAGCGAGATGCTGTCTAGGAAGATGTGGTACTCTCTTACAGATTTGTGCCTTGCTTGGGTGCTTGGCCTCAGCCCTGAAGATTCCCTACATGTGTTATTCCTGTATTCTTTAGAGTTGTTTCTTTCTTCTTCTTTTTTTTTAACCACTCAGTAATTAACCCCATTATAGTCCATAATTCTTAATATTGAACTTCCTTGTTTAAATTACTATGTATTTCAGTTACTAATACGTAATTCATCTCCCTCTTGGGTACTGCCTTGCCAGTGGTCCATAATACTTAAAAACACAGTATATTGGTCTTTGACTATTATGGGTATTAGAGAATTTTATTGAAGACCTTAATTCTTTTTTTTTTTTAAAGATTTTATTTATTTATTTGACAGACAGAGATCACAAGCAGGCAGAGAGGCAGGCAGAGAGAGAGAGAGAGAGAGGAGGAAGCAGGCTCCCTGCGGAGCAGAGAGCCCGATGTGGGGCTCGATCCCAGGACCCTGGGATCATGACCTGAGCCGAAGGCAGAGGCTTTAACCCACTGAGCCACCCAGGCGCCCCTGAAGACCTTAATTCTTAACCCAAAGTTAGAAATTATATTGGAATTTTAGATTCTAGGCACAGCCAATGGAAGAATATTTCAAGGCAAGGAGGGGGCTTTTCCACCATACTTAATGACAGCCACAAGTGACTGTCAAGAAAATGCACTACGTCACAGCTGATATCCATACCATCATCCTCAACCCCAAACAGACTGCAATTCCTCACCTCTCTCATGGGAAGTCTGGCACTCCTGAGTCTCACTCTTGCACTGGTTCTCCAAAGGCTGGAGCTGTATACTCAGAGATTTCAGTGCTCCTATGGAAGTCATTTCCTTCCAGATCATTCCTTGGCCATGAACCGTGTCCTAGGAGTAATCAAGTACCAGCACTATGATTCTGAGGATACAGAAGGAAAAAACCCTAGAACAATGGGCAAGGCAGTTAGAGCCAGAAACTCAATTCAGATGATTAGACAGAAAACAACAGGATTAAAAGCCCCAGTGCCTTGATCCCAGTGCACAAATAATAACCCAAAAGACAGAAATTTCATAACTCTGATAGCCGTGACGTCAAGGCCCCTCGTAACGGCTTCCCCGTTGACTTAAAATTGATAAAACAAGCAAACACATCACCTACTTCTTACCTGTTGCCTTGGCTCATCAAGCTCCTTCTCCAGCTCCTCCAGCAGAGTGACGGCCTCCTCTCCACTCTCGGGCCGGTGCTCTCGCAGCCAGGCCTGCAGCTCGTCAGGCAGGATGGCCAGGAACTGCTCCAGCACCAGCAGCTCCAGGATCTGCTCCTTGGTGTTCACCTCTGGCCTCAGCCACTGATGGCAAAGCTCCCAGAGCTGGCTCAGGGCCTCCCGGGGCCCAGCAGAATCAGAGTAGCCAAACTGCCTGAAACGCTGGCGGAAGGTCTCCAGGCTACAGGTGTTTCCCTGAAGGCCATGGTCCTGCCCCCAAACATAATTCTCTTCTTCAACCTTCACAATTATAAGTCCTTCTTGTTCTTTTGGAGCATGGGAGGCCAGGCCTGCAGCTTTTCCTGACATTCTGGGCAGAGACCGTCTGAAAATGCTGCCCAGTTGAGTCAGGAAGGCAATGGATTCCCTTGTCTAAGAGATTCCTTCTGAATTCTGATTCTTCAGGGGACTCCAGAGATAGACAATGCTAATGTTACACAGGGGAAAAAAATTGGCTTAGAATAATAATGCAGGTTTTCAAAGACAAGTCACCAGAGAGTATAGTTCTATAAAGAAAAATGACTAAAAGGGAGCTACCAGATAAACAATACATTATAGATGATTTAGGATATTTTCAGGATAGGAAATAGAAAATTTAAGAATCACTGAAATCAACTGAACCTTTAGAAATAATGTTAGGGTCAGTATCACGGATAATAAAATCTGGATCATGGAAAGCAGGAAAAACACTGCAGAATAATAATCATCATCATCACCATTTTATTGAGTATCTACTAGATGCCAACACTAGCTGGACATTTTACATATGTTTTATATAATTTCCCTAATAATTCCAAAAGAACAATCATAATTATGCCTATTTCCAAATGAAGCTCCTGAGATACATAAGTTAACCAAAGATACACAGCCTGTAAGCAGCAGAACCAGACTCTGCAACGAAAGTACTGAGTTTTACTATGCCATGGGGTCTCCCCAAAAGGGAATTTGCACTTAATAAACACCTACTATGGGCCGGGCACTTTACAAATACTATTTTACTGGGGCTTGACAATAATACTATGAGGTATTATCATCCCCATTTTACTGATGAGGAAACTGAGATTTTTAAAAGTTAAGTAATTTAATTTACCCATGGCCTCAACCTGGTAAATAGCAAAGTCGAGACATGAACCTAGGGTTGCCCAATTCCAAAGCACTTGTTTTTTATTACAGAATGGGTTAGCCCAGGATCATCTTGGTTGATACTACACATTTTAAATGATGGTGAAAATGTTAGGAAAGTGTCATGGAGAATGGCCAGAGCGAATGTACAAAGAATTCCTGCCTGTAAGTCACAAGTTCTAAGACAGTACCAAGAAAAGAGAATGAATTCCTTCACCCATTATTTCAACAAATACTTGAGTTACATGCTAGGCAGCTTACTGAACAGGATTCTCAGGATTAAAAGCTCTGTCCTCAAAGACTCCTTAGAGTAAACCTGCAAATGCCATGTGATAAATCCAAGGATAGAGGGAAGCAGGCATGGTAGCAGACACAGAGACAACTAAGACCAGGGAGAGCTGCCTGCCGGGAGAAGACACGTCAGCAAGAGTCTGGTAAGAATGAGTGGGTGAAGATGTCACATCAGGTTATTCAGGGAAAGACAACAGTGGGAGGACTGCACTGAGGCGGGGAGCGGGTGGTTTAGGGAGGCCAGACTCGTGGTTGTCCCCTCTGGCTCAGAATCAGCCATGGAGCAGGGACCCCACAACAGACTTCCTGAGTCAGAATCTCTGTGGGAGAGACTTCAATAAGTGCCTCCAAATGCTTCTGATATGAACCCATGTTTTTAAAAAAAAAGCCAAAAACCAAAAAAAAAAACAAACAACACAAACAACAACAACAAAAAATAGGCCAGAGCCTGGGGCATAGTTCAGGAATAGTGAGAAAGGAGGCACCCACAGAGGGAGAGGAGGCCAAGGGTCTGAAAGATTGTATTGCAGAGTTTGCATTGAGCCCCACAGCCATGAGAATGGCTGGAGGGTCCATCTGCCCACTCAGGAACGGGTATGGAGAAGGCAGAGGAAGGGTCTATGGCAACCACTTGGGCGAGAGGGCCTAAGCTATGGGAGCCAAAGATAAAGATGAGAGATTTGACAGGAATTGGGGACACACTGGATAAGGGTTTGGAAGAGGAGTCAAGGATAGGTTTTCCCCTGCCGCTGGTGACCGAAAGGATGGTAGTTATCATTTCCTGAGTTATTTATGACAAAATTAGGTGTGAGATACTACAAAGGAGCATTTTCTAAACTGTGTTCTTGCCATACACATATAAACACAGAGAAACCTGGGATATTTTTCCTCTTAATTTTTTAGTATTTGAAAAATACTAAATACATTTCTTTAGTTCTTACTATGTGGTTATTGCCATTTAAGAAATCCCATAACAAAGCATCATCAGATCTATGTATCACTGTGTATACAGCATATACCAAGGGCTACATCACATGGATATGTGTGCTTTGCCTAATGATCACTGGTCTATGTCATGGGTCTTGCCCTTTAACTTCAATGTTTGTGATACTAAATTTCTATTATAAATATTATGCCTCACCAACTTACCTCTATGTTATGCGGCCGAAGGAAGTTTTCCATCATAAAGCTTGTCTCTTCCTTCTTCCATCTTTCACAGGCCCATCTCTTCTACATCAGAGTTCCGTAGGTTAGCCCTTAAGTCTGGCACTGTCTTCACTGTCTCACAGGCATCTCTACTCCGAACTTCTTATCTGAGCACAAGCCCTATTTACTGTTCCTCACTCCCATAATGCCTCCTGAATTTCACAAAAGGACCTAAAACAGCACATCCATGACCAATTGATGATTCCTCCCACTCCAATTCTGCTCCTCTCCCAGTGGTCCCCTCAGGAATTAGGAACATCCACCTGGCTGCATTTCTAGAAAACGGAAAGCATCCCTAACACCTCCTTCCTGTATTTAATGCAAATTAAGTCCTATTGACTTATTGCCTGTCTCCAGAATCTGCCCTTCCCCATCTCTGCCACTACCATCTTCATCCCTTTAACTGTCCTGTCACACTATACAATAACACACTGTCTGCTCATACTATAACCAGAGGAACCTTTTCAAAATTGCAAATCTGACCCTGTTCCTCTGACCAGTTTTTAAAAAGCAAATGCAGGGGGGCAAAATCTCATGTTACAGATGCCTGAGCTGTACCCCAGCCTGAGTCAGAACCTCTGGTTTTATATTTGTAAAACGTTCTTTGACTCTGATGTGCAGGCGGGGCTGGGTCAGTCAAGGAGTCATAAGAGACACAGTTAAAGAGAATTATGTTCCTTTCTCTCAGAATCCTGCTCTCATTTTGTCAGTTTATATATTTTAGTGAGACTATTGCATTAATACATGTCTTCTCCATGATTCAATTCTAAGTTACATCAGCATTTTTGCTCACCCTTCCCTACCACCCAACCCAATGCACAGCAGAGAGTAGGTGCCATATATAAATGAATGAATACCACTATAGTGGAAAAAAAAAAGTTTCAAAGAGGAAGTGGTCAACATGTCAAATGCCTAATAAGGACTGAAAGATGTTTCCATGGCACTTCTCAGACTGCAGAAAAATGACTTAGCTCACAGGAGAAACACCACCTTTGGAGTCAAGTGACCCAACAGTTTGGAATCATAGTACAGCCTCTTACTACCTTAATAGCTGTGTGACAGTAGTCACCAACCAAACCTTTCTAAGATTCCATGTCCTCTCCTAAAAATGGAGTTAATAGTACTTTCATTGCACTGTTATTAACAGGAATTGGAAGTAACATAAGACAGGTAGAGTAGTGCTTGGTGTATTAAGCATAGCTTTTTATTCTGGGGTTTTGACATCTGGGCCTTGCTTACACTGGAGGGATGGTCCTTCTCAGGACTAGCAGATTCCTACAGATAATAAACTCAAGTGTGCTTTTCATACGCAAACCACCAACCCGAACCCACACCCCACCACTTCCTGCACGGGGCTTTCACATCCAGGGCCACCATTCCCCTGCCCTAATCAACCAGGGCCAGCTGCCAAAAACTCAGGAACAAGCCAGAGAGTTTATCTATTATCTAGTTTATCACTTAAGCTATTCAAACTAGTCAATCCTAAGCCTGCTGACCCTGCCTCACAGTCCTTCCCATGGAAACCACAAAAAAGGCTCGCTCCCAACTTCCCCTCACCTGGTCTCCTGACTGAACCTGTGATTTTTGCCATATGACCATGTGGGACATGGCATCCCTCCTCCTCTTCCTCCTGAGAACTATGAGTAACAAACTATCTTTTGAACGGCAATCATCTCCTGATCTGTTGGCCTCACCATACGTGATAATAAAACCCCTATTTTAAAACACTGGGCCCAGAACAGGTTTTCAATGCATGACAGACATGGCGCAAGGGAAAGGCAAATTCCACATCACAAGGCATGGGGTATAGAATAGGCTTTATTGGGGAAACTTACCAGCTAGGCTCAGTAAAATGATCACAGGTCCTGTGATTCTTCCATCACCCCACAAAAGAGAATCCTGGGGAGGTGCTGCTGCTTCAGGGAAGAGCTCCTTCCACCTTCTCATAGTGTAAATATGAGAAAGCAGCCTTATCAGTGGGGGCCATAGGCGACTGCTTGGGACCAGAACTGTGTTTCCAAGTGTCCGTGTTTACAGAGCTGTCTAGGGAACCCACTGTGGAGGGCTGGAAGCACTGAGCTTAAATATGGCCCTTCCCTCTGGGAGGTGAGAACCTGGCCCCAGCTAGCTCTTAACCCGAGCAACCCAAGAACCTCCAGGACACTTTTGGACAAAAACTGCTTTCGGCAGTATGGTTGTTATTTAATATACCTGCACCGTTCTCTTACTTAGTTTTAACAGAAAACTCTGAGCTTTTATTGTACAATCAAGCACAGTCTACCTGTTCACTTCCTCTTCACAGCACTTTATGTTCTAGGTTCTACTGTTTTACTGAACAGAAACTGAGAAGTTGTATAATTTCTCTCAGGTCCCATGGTTTGGAAAGTGATGTAGTCTGGACTGCTCTCAAACAAATCGGTCTGACTCCAGAGTCCACGCTCTTAGATACGTAGTCTGCTGCACTGCCTTCCCCACCACACCAGTGGCCCTGTGGAGGAGGTCCTGTGTTTTTTCACACATTTCTTTAACAATATTTACAGAATGCCTACTTTGTGCAGGCCCTGCGCTAGGCACCGAGCAGAGAGTTCTAAGTCCGTGTCCTTGCCATTATAGAACTTAAGATTTTCGTAGGGAGGCAGACGTTAAACAGAAAGGACACCTAATTACATAACTTAGTCTTGCTAAGAACGATACAGGGGAAAGTGGGAAGGGCTGTGAGTGTCGAACCTAGCTAGACTGGGGAAGTTAAGAAGAACGGCTGAGACCTGGCCGCGTTAAGCGGGAAGAAAGATTGCCTCAGTTCTTCTCCAACTGCTCGGCCTATGGCCTGAGACACAGGAGGCGCCGGGTAAGTGCTAGAGAAGTCAAAGGACACTAGGGCGGTGGGTGAGCAGACACACAGACAAATGCATGAAGAAATGGACCGATTGACGGACGGACGGGCGGACGGAAGCAACCAGGAGGAGCGGCCACCTGGTACCGCCACAGGTTCTGCCTGCGGCAGCAACGGCCGACGCAAAGCGGCGAGGAGGGCTGAGGCCGGACGGGGGCGATTTGGGAAGCACCCGCGGCCGCGCTGCCAGACCGCCTCACTCACCCCCGGCTCGGCAGGCGGCCGCACCGACCCCAGGGAGCGACGGAACATCCTTGGGACGCGCGCGCCGGAAGTGCGGGCGGGCGCGCCCCTCTAGGAAGCCGGGAGGACTGCAGCTCTGTGGCAGGCGCCGGGCGCCGAGGCTTGGGAGGAGGGACGCGAAGCTGAGGGGAGTGCGTCTCCGGTGGGACCTGGTGGGGACAGCCCCGATTCAAAATGGTTGACAGGCGACGGAAGGAGGACAAAAGAAATATAGAGAGAGCACGCGCTTGGTGGAACTCCGAGGAGAAAAAAATAGAACCCTGCCTCTGTAAATCTGGGGAAGAGGAGGACAAAACTGCATTCGTCCACCACAAACACGCTATCCCCAGTGGCAGTTCTAGAAGCTAACTAGAGGAGTGCGTGGAGGTTGAGGGGAAACCAGCCCAGGTTTGGCCAGGGGGCCAGGCGGAGGATCGACCCTGCCGTCGTGGACAAGGGCATGAACACGTAGCGGGACAGTCAGAATAATTCGATCAAAGAAGGCGCTACTCACGCTGAGTCTTACCGGACAACTGTTGACTTAGAGGAGTGGCCTGAGGGAGAGCACAGCAGTGGGAAGTTCAGGACATTGGCGGGGGGGGGGGGGGGGGGGGGGTGGGGGGACGCGGGGGGGGGGGGGGGGGGGGGGGGGGGGGGGGGGGGGGGGGGGCGCGGATTAGCCCACCATCTTCGTGGGCTAGAACCTAGGCTGAGGGACGCGGTGGGTCAGGTTTGAAGAGTTTCAAATGCCAGGCTCGGGAATTAGAAATGCTTTTAGTAATCAGTGCAGGCCATTTTCATGTGCCATGGCAAGAATGATACTTCGGGACAGTATCTGACATACTGCGTAGGTTGGATTGAAGGGCAAAACGGATGAGAAAAAAAAGACGTTTAGAAATGTGAACTTAGAATTTGGTAGTATCTGAAAATATGACTGAAAATGGAGAAGGGGATGAGATCCAAAGGAAATCTTATGGAAAATAAACAGGAAATTATAAAATAGCTATGTTTGGGGGTGGAATGAGCAAGAACAGATAGAAAAGAGAAACTTCTAGAAGGAGGAAAGCCCAGATGGTTCAATCATAAAAGCCAACAGAGTGTTTCAGGAGAGAAAACAGGTGACCAGCGGTCGGGCAGAGAAGGGGAGGAGGCCAGAGCTTTGGTGACGCGGAATTAAGGGAAGGGATAGAGGAAGGGCTTGAGAGATGTTATCGGTGGAATGTTACTTGCCACGGGTTAAGAAGTGTAGGATGAGATACGGAAAACAGGTGGTAATTCCTTCTGAGAAATGCGATTGTGCAAGAAGGAAAAAGAAAGGACACTTGGTTGGACTAGGCAACAGGATTGGAAAGGTGTTTGTTTTTAAAAATACTAGGCACCTTAGGGTGCCTGGGTGGCTCAGTGGGTTGAAGCCTCTGCCTTCAGCTCGGGTCATGGTCCCAGGGTCCTGGGATTGAGCACCCCATCGGCTCTCTGCTCAGCGGGGAGCCTGCTTCCTCCCTTCTCTCTCTCTGCCTGCCTCTCTGCCTATTTGTGATCTGTCAAATAAATAAATAAAATCTTAAAAAAAAAAATACTAGGCACCTAATTATATTTGTAGGGAAAAAAAGGTAAAATGTGAGTAGGAAGGAAAATTGAAGATAGAAGAAAAGAGGAATACAGAACTGATGGGGAGAGAATGAGACAGGATAGGTAGGTGGAGTCTCAGAAAATGAAATGAAGCATTTTAATAAAAAATGGTGCATTTTGGTCTGTGTTTTGATGCTGTGAATACAGAACAGCCAAATAGAACTGCTCAGTAATGC